AAACTTTCATGACACATAAAATATAACGTCGTTGAATAGAAAAATACAGGCACGTAATTTTTTATCTTATTTTATTTTAATGGCTGGATTTTACTTTTTTTCGCGCATTATTTCGCGTATTCATTTCAAACTTCGCGCCTTGCGCAGTAATCAAGACAAGTGAAGCTTCTGCGCCGCATGCCCCCTCGAAGGCAAATGTATGTAAACAAAGCCAGTTATGGCGGACGTTCTGTGTACGCGCCGAGAAAGAAGTCGAACTTATATTGTCTATAACTTCTAAACATTAATCGAGCGCAATGTTTTAATGTCATTTTCGAAATAACCAGACACTTTTTCTCACCAGAATGGTACATTTTGAATAAAGAGGGCTCTTGTTGCTTTTGCTACAAATTAACCAAAACAAGTACAAAATTCAAGAAAAAGTAACGTAAAAATAAGCCTTTATTTCTGTCTAAAGTAGTTACGTATATTTTCACGGTGTAACAATTTCAGGTGCGCCTGCTTCAAGTTAATCCAGCAATAACCGGTGATTACTCGTCTATGAGGGCGGATTGTAAAGATTTATTACAGGTGCCTGCTCAACCAACAGAGTCCACTCGCGCCTTATACTCAAACTAAGATGGGCGGATCTTGTTTACAGAGATCGCATAATCTGACGTGATCAATTTAGACTTTGAACAAGACCAACTCAATCATCGACGGCTAACGAACGCTTCCATCGACCCACTTTCACTCAACAAAAGTCTTGGCTCAACTCGTGGTATGATTCTCAAAGATTATCCAAAGGTTCCACTTACTGGAATCATCATCCCAGGCCGATATTATCAAGAAATCATCATCATGACCAAACAAACATGCCTCGCCAGAATGCAAGTTAATACATGATAAATTAAAATCATATTTAAATTACCAAGTAATTGATTTCAAATTAGCGCGGTGAGCAGTTTGAATGTAACATATCGAGCCTGTCATTTCAGATTTCCCATTTAAAACATTTATTCAAATATTTAGGGCAGCATTTCTCAATATTAAGGTCTAAACAGAAAATAAGAGAATGCTTACTATACTGGCCAATTAATTTAATAGAATCAGCAATTTGCTATAATTTTGTATTATACGAATATATACGAAATATATTTATTTTTATAGGAACTTTACTGGATCTAAATATTGGACAGTATATTTAATTCAACATTCTTTTGTAATTATGTAGCTAATCTTCAAATTTTAAATTGGCAGAAGAATTGAATTCTTGTGCTCCATTCCCAGTTAATTAGTCAATAGGATATTTAATTCGAAATTCTTTTGTAATTTTGTAAGAAATCACAAAATCTTCCAGTTGGCTGAATGTGAGATTTTTTTCTCTCAGCTGAATGGATGAAATATGTCTTGTTTTGTGGAATTAAAAAAGAAATATTGATTTATTAGTGAAAAGATAACTATAGAGAAAATACTAGTCAAAATGTAGTGTTTATTTATGTGCATCTACATAAAGTTGACGGTTTTTCCCATAGTTTATTTGTTTTTATTTCTTTTTTTTATTTCGATAGCCTCAGCTTTGGGGAAATGTATTAAGGCATGCTGGGTATGACGATAAACTACGTCCAACAGCCATGCCTCTGATCAGAAGGATTTGAGGAGCGTGGAACCACCTTTTAATTGCTGGTGTTCCCAGATCTACCCTGACCCGGGATGGTAGTACCTGTTAGAGTCTCAGCTATGGGCAAATAGTTATCCGCCAAAATGGAGTCAAAACAATATGAAAGTGTAAAAATAGGCTTTAATACCAGAAATACTTTTTTAAAAAGTTATTACCAGCAATAAATTTTTTTGAAAAAAAATTATTACCAGCAATACATAATTACCAACAATACATTTTAGGCAACAAAAAAATATTACCAGCAATATATTTTTGAAAAAAAAATTAGCAGGAATTTTTGAAGAAAAAATATTACTAGCAATACATGTTTGAAAAAAATATATATATATTTCCAACAATAAAAAGTTTTCGGCATTAAATAACCGATTCAGGTTGATATGCCGTAAAACAAAACAAACCAAAATAAAATGTTAAGGCATGTATCATAATTTTAACGTTTGTTATTATGGCTATGTCTATCGACTAGATTTTTTTTTCAGATTATTTACCCAGGTTGGCTTATTGCGGCACGAATTTAATCGAGAAAAGGCCTTATAAGAAGACTACGTTACGCCCATAATTTAGATGTGGAGGTACTGCTTGTGTTCTTAACTATTACCATTCAAGAGAGAAAATTCAGGTGAGTTGGAACAAGAATTATTAGCACGACTGGGAATAGTTACTTCCTCAATTCGCCAACACACGCCTTTCTTTTTTCGCAACGTTTTCTGAACAATAATTGTTTCTTTCTTTCGTTTTTTAGAAAGAAAAGAATTGTCGGAATAACAGAAAAGTCTTGAACGAGACTTCAATTCTCATCTGGTACCCTCAGAGCTATCTGTCTGAATTATTAACGCCAAT